TCTTTCGTAATTCATTGAATTTGTTTCTGAAGCGTTAATATCTATAAAGGAAGTATGAATCTCATGTTATTTAACGCAATATGTTAAAAGTTGTTCATTTTTACAGTATGCCCATGCAGTTGTTACATTTGGAATAGTGAACAACGTATTTTATTTAAATTATTAGAATTCTGAAAATCGTGTTTTATTAACCTCATATTCCAGATTTTAATTTTTGGCCCCATATGCAAATGTAAAAGTCACAAATGATTGAATGTTGTTATGTGAAAATATTATGGCGAAATCATGATAAGGTAAAAGAAGGAAAACAGATTGAATTTTAACAAGAAGTGAAATATATCTGAAAAGATATTTTATTATATCATCATTGAAACTTGTGTTATCTTTTATATACTGTAGAAATGAAGAGAAAATTGCCAATATGTATTTTACGTAAGCTCAGATCTTCCTCAAGATGTTTGGAAGCGAAAATATATATAAAAACACAGTTAGTTGTTCATAATTGTGATGATGATAACCAAATTAAAAGAAACAGTAAGTTGTCAGTTTAGTTGTTTATATACACATAATACGATGCTATATACTAAAATAAACATAGCTCTACCCGATTCCTACATGAGTGTAATTCAACTGTAGTATTCATTTTGTACAGTCAGTAATACAAAATCGACGTTTCTATTGGTTTACAACGTCCACGAATTCTGTATGTAATGTACAGTGTTGTAACCAACCTAGATATCGACCACACGTCTTGTTTATTCGTCTTCGTTTTGATTCTTTGAGCGAAGAGATTTGGAATCTTGTGTTATTCTGAGCCAACGGTGTAACTGTTAACCTATCCTGATTGTGGAACAGTTATAAAGAGTGTGGAAAATTATCTAGGTAAGGTTATCAGTGTTCCACAAGCAGGAAATAAATTACCTTTCCAACTATAAAATTACTTATTTTATGTCCCAGTTTCTCGTTTTCCTCATGTGATACAATAATAGAAACAATTTCGAAATGAAGCTTGTCTAAATGTTATTTAACAATTCACTCGTACCTCAAAGAAAACACTTCTCCATTACAAAGATCAACGTGTTAATTATGTTTAAGGAAATAATATATGCTTCCAATGAGAATTATAAGAAGCCAATAAATAAATAAGGCAGAGTTATTAATATTAAATTAATTATTCGGTTTTGTCCGTCTAATCACAATTATATTTAAAATTTAAAATTTACAAATAAGATAATTAAATTATCATTTTATGTTCCACATCGAATAATCGATTTACATTTGGAACATTTTTTACAACATGTTTCGGTTTCATCGAACCATCTTCAGGTGTAAAATTATATCAACAAACTTAAAACTCAATTACAATTTCTGTTGTGGTTATTAATAGTTAAATGAGGTGGTACGTATAGTTCTTGCTGGGCTTTAAAGGGTTAAACACGTTATTTTTATGTGCGTCTAAATGATGCTGATGCACTTCTACTGAAACAAACCTATACAGTGAGTTTCTCTTTCTTCTCAATATGAAGCCACAGATATTTACCAGGAAGAATTATATTCCAGAACATAAAATGAACATACTAAAATCATCTGCACGGAAGGTAATGTTTTAGCACGGCATTAGTCACTTGACATCAATTTCAGTTGAGTGCCCAGTGTGGGTATATCTCACATATTTTATTCCGAACCTGTTTCCACTAACATTCTGCATCATTACGCAGTTATTTGAAATCTATAGATCGCCCGGTTCTGAATATAAAAGGAGCAGAAATATTTTATATCCACTGTTTACTTCAATATTCTTCCGACAGAGTAAACTAACACCTTGTTCTCTGGCACTTAAATTTATCTGCTATTTTATTAGAAACGTAGATCACTGTCAGAAAAACAGATATTTGTTCTACTGTTTTTTTGAAACACATGGCATATTTTATTTAAACAGAGGCCTACTTAACTACTTAAATATATAACTTTATTAGGCTATTTGCTATCTTGATAATGTATACTACTTTCTCTTATTATACGCTCATAATTTCAATAAAACACAATTCATTATTATTCATTTTGTCACAACAGTATTTGAATATTGTCAAATTTGCACCTATAAGAAGAGAATATTTATTTTATTTAAACTTTTAGATTTGCATATAAGCACGTATCTTTTAGTCATATATAAAATGTTAAGCCGTATGTTTTGCCCAGTTAACTGAGTAGTCTTGTAAATTGGTAATCAACACTGGGTTATTGTTTTATTTATTAGTTATGTTACAATACGCCAGATATTTCAAAGACATTTAACGTTTCTCCTGAACGGCCGGGGTTTGATGCAAGGTCCTTTCTCGTCATTATCAGTTACAGTCCGGCTCACATGCCCTTTTAGCCTCACGTCTAGTAGCGTCTCTTTATCCATAAATAAAGCGTCTGGACGGTAAAGCTAACAAATCACCTTCATCTACTGCGTAAAGGTTTACCTCCATTCCCCCATACATCTTTATGTCATGATGACAGGCATCTACAAATTTCCGTCAGAAACGTCTGCTCGACTGTTCTTTTAATGTTGGAGAGATTTTCATCTGAGTGTCCGTACGACAAATTCCTCTGACAGAGTCAGTCAGTTTATTGACAGTCAGATGTGTGATCAAAGACGTCGCGAGGAAAGAAATGCATAGAAATTTCTGATCAACTGTGGACAGGAGACAGAATGATACATAATTGTGTTGATTGTAGGTTAGATTTTATTGTGACAAACATTATCCGAATATATAACCGCGAATAGAGAATTTATAATGACAATACATTTATGGAGACAATAAGAGACTGTAGGAATAAGATGTTTTTACTTATTTTACTGGAGTTTCAGTTAGAAGACCATGTATTGCTTTTCAATTACGATTAATAATACTTTTAGAATTCGTTGAAGGTGCAGGCTTTTATAATAAATTCGAGCCTATTTTGATTACGAGGTCGTAGAGGTGAGATGTGGCTGTGAGAAACGATTCGTGAGGTCGTAAATGACGTGTTTAATTACACCCTTTGCCATAGACTAATGAGGTCAGGAATATTTTCAAAGACATGCAAGCATTGCCACCAACACGTTCCTGCGAATAAAGAAAGGACAGATTCTTTTCAGAATGTAATAGCCTAAATATAATGAAGCCTTGAAAGAGATTTTTTGTGTATGTATAATACGTTTCATAATACTGTATTTTCTTTAACTCAATGAAGTTCACGAAAATTTCGAACTATAATAAATTTGTACGAATAAAAATTTGCAGATGTTAAAAAATTTCCTAAAATTATAATATTTTTATACCTGAAACTGTGAAATAAAACAGTTGATACTAAGTTATTATATTTTACTGCGAAGATAATTTATAATTATTTATGTAAATTCGTGTTAATACTTTATAGAACCTTTCAATGTAAGGCTGGAAATTACATAATTGAACTATATGTATAAATATTCAAAGATATTTATTCCTTCATGTATTCTACTACAAAGCAAGATTAGCTTATATTTATGTTATAAGTTATCTTGTGTGTGTACGTATGTTCCGATGTAGTTTTAGAAGGCTTGCAATGTTTGAGTGGACGGTGTAATATGGTGGTAGAACAATACTGCTTCGGCCTATGAAACTTATGATTGGCCCTCCGACCTGTGCGTATGAATCACTTTAACAATGAAGGAATACAAAACACATTCGTGTACAACAACTATAGGCCAAATGAATTGCCCAGCATAGTACAATCATGCTTGTAACCTGCATGCATTTTCACTCCTTAATTTAATCTGTTTTACACAAAAACAAGAATACAAGTACATGAGCATAACTTGTCTTCATTGTTTATTGTAATTCAAGGCGTTAAGGTTAAATGTATTCTAGGATTTTACGCCATGTAGTCCGGTAGTTTACCGACGTTTCAGAGGTGTTTATTGTCGACATCATCAGGTCTTCCAAGTGGTCTCTTTCTTTTAGGTTTTCAAAAAAAGAAATTTTTATGCATTTCTCATCTTTCTTATGCGGACTATATGCCCCAGTCTTCTCGTTCGTTTCCTTTTGATCATAAAATAAAATGCACGTCATGCTGTTTTCAGTCATTTTTCAGGTATAAATGTCCTCCTTAACGTTCATTTCTCAAACAGGGCGATAAGTTTCTTCACTCTGATAATGGAGACGGAAAGTACTTTCTAAACGTAAGTAAACTTCTACCAGACCATATGGCGCAAGAACCCAGAAGACAGCCATCTTTGAAAATAAGACCCTTGGCTTTGTTGTGAATTACTATTGTCAGAATTTATAGATGCTAGAAGCAAACAGTCGTAGAGTTTTACCGAAGATTTACGATTCTCTAGATTGTTTTAATTTATTAAGAGTTTTAATTTTTAGGAACATCCGTTATTTATGTGTTTTGTCCCCACAAATACCGCGGTCTCTTCTTCAGAAATTTCCTCTGAGAACAAAGCGAAAAATGCTAAATTAAAAGAAAACATTTCAACTCATTAAATTTTATGAAAATCATAGGAAGTTCTTGCTGAAGGCCATGATCTTCCACATCCTCCAGTTTATAGGCACAGATCCATTGAATAATGAGTCGCAGTATTGTTGTAAGCAAACTAGATTATTTCAGTGGCATATTAAATGTACTAACTATCTTATTCCTTCACCATCTGTATAAACACAGCACTCGGAGGAACCAAGCTGGGAGGTGACATTCGTCTTTGGGGCTGCTCATTTTCAGCAGTCGTACTGAAGGAGAAGCCCCCAAGAAGTAAACCCACCAGTGGTAAGTGCGTCTCATTTTACTTTCTTCAAAACATTACTCGTTTCCTTCCATTACAATTCACATCTCTTGTGCTTATTTCTCTCTTCGGCACATTGATGTTGTCATAGTGCGAAGAACTTTACTGATAAATAGTATCAGTTTATTTATATATACAAGCGCAAACGTGAATTACAAATTATATTGTTCTTAAATGACGCATTGATATCAAATAGTGATATATTAGCTTGGTGCATGTGGAAAGTTCGATTAACTTTGTCTTAGTGTTGACGGGTTTGAGAAATTAATACCCCTTTTTCGATGAGCGTAATTAAGTTTCGGTTACATTAACCAGTGAATCGTCCATCTACCCATCGTCTGCCTCGAATTATAGCTCTTTACGATTTAATTTTGTTTCAATTTTTTGTTCTCTCTTTACAATCTATGCGTATTTGAACTAGTACTGTTCATTTAAAACTAATTGCTGATCACTATAACAAATAAAACCAACATTTATGTGTAATAAACATTTCCCTTAATGTACAGTAATATTTTACCAATGGAAAAGTCACAATTAAATTCACTGAGGTATAATTTTCCTCATTTTCCATTTTATTTTCGCGTCTTTATTCCATGCCCTCCTTTCTCCGGCATTTATTTTATATCTTTTAATCTCAAAACAACAATAAAACATCAACCGTATTACGGATTACATTATTTTAATGTTTTTATAAACTCAAAATTATTTATAAATGCTGTTATGTAACGTTATTACTGAACATGTTTAGACCTCTGTGGGTTAAAATAAATACGAATCAAGGGAAGATATCAGCAAACACTGGTTTAGCTCTGTACATATTTGTATTAACTTACCTTGGTAATCATACAAACATTGACATTAAATTAATGAAAAATTAATTTTTATTTAACGAAGAAATACAGCACATTATTGAAACAATGCTGCGATGTACTTGCAGCCTTATTGTATACCGTGTAACCTACGTGGGATTGAAAGAGAATGTTTTATTTATTTTAAAATTACTTTTTATGAAAATCATATCATTTAATTTTTCGTCCTTACAAACCAGTGACATTATAATATACTTGTTACGTATTACTAAAATATAATATAAATTATAATTGACCCTAAGAATGTTGTGTGTACAGAAAAGATTTTTATATTTCATCAGCTAATAGGAACTGTCATTGCTAGACAGTTAAAATGTAATATTATGGACAAATATGACCCTACTGCCTGACGTGAATTTGACATTTTGTGTGAATAGATTCTCGAACATATGTTACCCGCCTCACAAGAGAGCCACAGACTTTGCCTGAGGATCACGGCGTTTCAAATAGCTTGTTCCCATTCTGCTCTGAGACAACATGGCCCCAATACATAATAACGTACCTCGATATCAGTTAAGTGTAAACACGTCGTCGAATTTCGATATGAATGTATGCATTGCATTATTAATTTGGGGGTTTGAAATAATCTCGGATTAGGCTTCTTCCACGTGAAAAAACCTTTTAGATAGTAGCATTTGATATGTAACGTACACGTTTGGATGAGATCGATAGTTATGCGACCGAAATAATTTAAATTAATAACCTAGTAATATTAGCGTTTCAAAGGGGTACAAAAATTCAATAAATAGGTAAAGTATAATGCGAATATCAATTTTACTTTCTGAAATAATTCCACAAGAGATAATTGGCACTAATACAACTTTTACGTTAATAATAGAGGTAACACAGAATTACTACTATGATATGATTAAAAAACTTTACATATTTCTTTGCAATATCAAACTCATTAGCAACGTGTTTGGTACAGGAACACCGATAAAGTTACAAACAATGTGCGTATACACACTTCAAATACGGGCTGTCCAAAGTATGACTGTTCACTCATCCATGGAATTCTGTGTACATGTAATTCTTGTCTGCAACACAGCAAAACGTCTTAACGCTTCGCAGCTTTCGTAATTAAGTAAAGATAGTATAAGTAATTACTTTAATTTTTATGCGCTCATTTGTTGTAATTTATAATACAGTTATGTTCTCTTAAAGAAAATTTTTCCTGTCATATATGACAGTAACTGAAGTAAGGGCTTAGAACTTTTTAATATTTGATTCTGTCAGCACCAGTGACTGCGTGTTTAAATCTCGCTTAAGGGATAAGGTCGTCTGTGTATTATTTTGTTCTGTCTATGTAGAAGCTTTGAGATGGGCTATTCGTCCCTATCAAGTGCCCAAGAGATTTCTTAATTTATTTCAAAATGGAGCTGACAATGACTGATCTATAGCAAAAGCGAAACGAGAAATTTATTTGTTCCTGTAATACGCAGAATATTCAGAATACGATGCTAGAATAATTTTAGGCTGAATCGTGGTTAAACGTGTAATGTGAGTGGAACTAGCTCAGTGTCTTGTTTAGTGGCGCAGACATTTTTTTTCTAATTATTAATAATATTTCAGTATCAAATTATGCTAATCCAATTGCTCCTTTCTTTACACGGATTTTATGTTTGTCAGTTGCGGCTTCTGACGTCGTGTAATGTTGTGAATGGTTATAAAAGTTCAGGAGGATCTATCACCTCCATTTTGGAATGACCTGCACTCGTTAAATATGAAGACGTTCTTCCTCCAGAACATCGGCAACCATCTACAAGACTACACAGATTCACAATCGATAAGACCACAATCGATATCTCCACTATTTTTTTAAAAAAACCTCATGTGTCCTATTTGTTACGGGTTTTCAAGGTATAAACGTGAGGGGGGGGAGAGAGAGAGAGGTAGACACAAGACTTCTCCTTGGTTGTGGCTGCTGTAAAAGCCTATACAGCCACAGTCTGTTGATGACGACCACTTGGGATTAAGGGACGGAGTTTTTCCATCGCTGTATCTTACTTTGTTACTGAATTGCACAAATTGGGAGAAAGACGTCAGAAAGAAATACAAGAAAGAGAAGAATGAAAGGCAGACTAGTTCCCTGGAAAATCCTCCGTTTATGATGTGTTTCAAATATTGAATGTCTACGTTCTGAATTGTTTTTATTCCGAGAGGTGTCACATCTTTGAACAACATATGTAGTTTGTAGAGAAGAAATTCCATGTTCGTCTTCTAGTGTCATGAAATATATAGCGAGTACCTGTTGCATGGAAGTATTATTTTTTTTTGTAAAAGCGACTAAGTATAATGAATTCTTCTCGAGTTACCAGCCGTGTCAGGTGGTTTAATGGAGAAAACACCAACGTTTCCAGGACAAAGATGATTCTCGAAACTCTGGTGTTTTCTTCATTAAACCAACTTAGAGTACTCGTAGCCCGATTAGAATTAATTTTCTTTCCTTACATGACAATAAGAAAAAAATGTCAGATTTTTTTAAATTTTGTGGAATATCGGCGATTGTCTTAACGGTCTAAATTAAGGTTTAAATTAAGTTAATTATTCTGTATTGCGGATAATCTGCAGTAGACACTGAATGAGAATTATAAATGATACTAACACCTGTTTCTATAGAATTTGCTGAGCTCAGAAAGCATTGTTAAATAAACCCATAGGCAACGCACAGTATCAGTATTTTTTGTACGTGTAAATAATTTGAATATTGATTAATATTGCAAATCACATGTCTTCATAAATGAGACGATTTTAAAAACTCAACGTGCGAAACATATTTAGTTGTCTGTTCTACTCATATCAACAGATATAATTTCGAACAGAAATACATATGTAACATGAAATTTAATTCGCTTCAATGCAGGTTGGGAGTTTATGGTAAATATTTAATCGACCACTTTATCGGACAATGTGTCTGGAATTCGGAATGTATTGGAAAGCTCACTAATGAGATGGATCTATTATTTGGCACATAGCGTTGTGCATATCATTAATATTTCTAAACCCAGCTACTACCCGAATGAGGTGAATTAATGCTAGAATTGAATGACCGGTTAAAGTGAAATGACATCGCATTCCATTCGACTAGCGCTCTTGTCACACGATATGTCGTGATTAATTATTTAACATGTTGATGCAAAACGAACAGGGGACAGTGGCAACTGACCCAAACGGACCCCTCTTAAACTATACAAGGTTAGTTTACATTGTTTGTAGTGTTATAGTACACTGAAACTGTAACAAGAATGGAAAGGCGTAATTCGTACCTGAATAAACACATGCGTTGATTGCAAACTATGAATTCTGAATGCTCCCAGGTGATATATTTCTATAGAACAATTATAAATAAAACATTACGTCAGTTATGTTACACAATTTAGATTTCAACTATACAAGTTTTATGGTCTAAATGCCCTCCATAAGTATTGTAAATCAATAAGGATGTCGGAATTATGTTTGACGTCATGGGATCGAATCTTGGTTTAGTCAAAACCCTTCTCAATTTGTGCAGTTGTTACGTTGTTATTTAAATTATACAAAATTTTTTGTACAAAGTCTTGTTTTCTCCAAAACCTTTTACCATACATTGCTGTATGGACCTGCTGCAGTTGGAGCTACTGTCGGTCACAGCTCAGTTTGTTTGTTCGTTCGTCATATTAATATTGCCGTTTGTAGCAAATTGAAAGGTAACATTTTACGGTAGTCCCCTATGGAATAATGCCCATATCTAATTTCATCTAAATCCGTCTAGTGGTTCTTGAATTAAATCATGCGTGTAAACAGACGTGATCAGCCATTTTTGCGTTTATCCTATGCATTTTGTTCAAAGAACACACATTAATTGACTGACTGTACTTTGTTAAACTTGCCTGTAAGTAAGGTTTGTCATTCCGAAAAAAATGACCAAATGAAATCCGTAAGAGGTAATAAAGGAGGAAAGTTTTTCATAAGAAATTAGAATAGGAAATTTAAATTTGGTTTCAGCTTACCCAGAATAGGATCTAAATGCGTGATTTTGTGAACACAGTATATATTTTGACACCATTAAAACTTGGGATTTCTTCACCAGCTGAATAATATTAACTTTCCAAGAAAGACGTTACACCGTGGAGTTA